AGGCAATAACATCACTTGTCCATAAACAACTAGGACACAAAGTGGAAATGCTCAAATACAAGAAGATTGGACGTCATGCAATGGAAGAATCACAATTAAATCCAACCGTGCAATTCCTAAACAAACCGTGAGACATCAGTCCATGCGATGTTTTACAGTAGTGACTCATTAATACAGTCTATCATCTATTAGCCACGAATATTTAGCACAGCTAAAGAGGGGACTGATATAATACAGAGGCCACCTTATTAACTTCCTCTTCCTGAAAGGGAGGCGGCACCTTATTAAATGAAGGGGCTTTATTAATAGACATCCTATTCACTATATCTTCCAACCTTGATTACTAAAACAAAATGTCTTGTCCCAAAACATATTTTTACCACACCTGTGGCAAAAGATCATTGAAAATTCAAAGGGGGAGGGGAGTTTTAAACCAGTAATTTGCAACCAATTGGGCACGTGCCTGGAAAACTACTTTCCCAAAATTAATGCTGCCAATTCTTTGCAATAATTATTGTTTTACATGATATCCTGAAACTTCCAAATTACACTACTTATCAAGAAACTGTTGTACCTGTTCCTGCTCACATCTTTTCCACTTGTCCTCCTTTTCACCTTCATTACAGGTACCATTATTTTGTCCTTTACATAGAATCATTGCTAAACCAATCAAAACTCTACAATTGAATTATCCAATCATTTAGTTGTTAATAAATATTATTTCATACCATTTATGGATAAAGACAATTTCTATCCACTTCAACTTTCTTATTTATATGCATTTGCACATCACCACTCACAAAAAATGTCACTTTTCACTGTTGCTAACCAAATGATAAACTATTTTCTATTTCTACTACTATACAGATAACAAACACTGTTGCACAAGATGTGCGTACAAGGTAATACTAAATAAATATGTTCCTTATCAACCACTCAATTGAAATCACAGCCTCCTCAATCCCCACAACATAGCGTAGGGTTTGAAGTTAACTTTTTCGTACAGTTGCAGATTTTGCTAGTAATATTTTTTTTCACTAGAAAACTGATCAGACGACTAGCAAATTGTTTCCCTTTGTTTTAAACACAAGCATTATTCTAATACACAGATCTTTGCTACTAGATATTTTCGTCACTCACAGATTATCTAAATTAAACGAGCTGTCTCACAAAATTCAGCCAAATTAGGACATTACAAAATGCCTGTTACATTAACAGAAACATAAAAATAACTGCTTAAAAGGAAGGTTAAAATAACATAACAGAAACAACAGATGCCACAGATAGGCAAAACTGAACAAGATTGAAACAGATTGAAATTTTGCCCCTGCTTCTTGCCAATTCAAAAATAATGTTCAGGAGAGATATTCATTTTGTTTGTCTGACAGCTCTGATTTTGTAATTTACACATAATTTCTTTGGTTACTTTAAGTTCCATGGCGATTGAGGGCAAGTAATTGGCAAAATTAAACAACATAAACTGATCTGCTGTGACACAGCCCCTTTAATCACCCATATTTTGCAAGCGTCAATACTTCAAGCCCTGTAGCAAGGAAGTAAGAGCAACAAAGCCATCAGATTATGCTTTTGGAAAGGTCTATTTGCCATGGACAAAACAAGCACTAACAATTTGTCAAATTGGTGGACATTTTTGCACGATTTGTAACACCACCCATGACAAAGTAGGAATGCACCAAAGCATCAAAGATGTCCTTCGATATTGCAACGTTGTTCCAATCATTCCTCTTTTGACTGCATCATGTACCCTTCAACATAATTTTGTTTTTATTTGCACATCTTTTCTTAATATCTACAGGTTACGTACTGCATTACAAACGAAGTTCAACTCTTATCTTATGACCAAAAGTTTTGTTTTATTATTCCTACCAACATCAATAGTACTCATCACAAACTTTACTTTCTCCATTTTCAGTACACTATCTACTAAATAATGCCCAAACTTACCACTATTACGAAATTTACAGCAAAAAACTCATTTCTCCAAACCAAAATAGGTACTCTATCCACATGCATGAAGGAAAATTTTTCTCCTAACATCGGAACCATAACCCAAAGTTCCACTTCGTTTTTAGTTCAATTCTGATAAAATGTGTTTAATATGAAACAAACAAACATACTGTGAAGTTTCAGCTCAATTGAATTAAGTATCTCCGAGATATTCGCAAATAAAAATTGCTATTGTTTGGCCCTCATCTTCGTAGAGGGGTCGGAAAAATTGTCGGAAAAAACAGCTTGTGATGTCAATGTTGGTCAGGTGAAAAAAAGCGGGAAATTCAAAACAGAGTTTTTCCAGTCGACTGGGAGCAGAAGTGGTTTGTGCGGCCATAAATCTGGAAAGAACAGGTCTTCAAAATCGATCAAGAGTTGCAAGCTGAGGTTATAACCTTCTTATTATTTATCAGTTGCAAGCTTCCCAGCCAAGCCATGATTCCGACTACTTCGCAAGATTAGCTACTTTTAATAACTGGTCCATGCGAGGGTCTTCATTCAAGCAAATTAAACTCAGCAAACTGAATCATTAGAAAATACAGAAAACTGCACATAAGGATTTGTTTTGCTCGCTTCAGTCAAATCCAGCTCCAGCAATTGTTTACGGGTAAAGAGTCCATTGTTTTGCAGTCACTGCCGGCACTGTTGTCGTTCTGCGCTACTCCACAGCAAGTGAAAGAAAAATTTGCGCACAGAAAGATAACAAAACTATGTCATTAAAACTGAAAAAAATAAAGGAAAAAACTCTGACTACTATTACTTGAGCAACAGGAAAATGATCGAAGTAGTCTTTTCTTCTCGAGTAAGCTTGCTGGCTTTCTAAAATTCCGAGAAAGTTTTTAAAACTTAAAAGCTTAAAGGTTGTTCACTCACATGCGTTAGGCGTTACGGTTCTTTGACTGAAGACAAGGATAAAGCTGGTTCTGCAAAGGTCAATAAATCTGGGCATGTAAAAAAAGTAACCATAACTACTAATAACAGAATACAAGCAGGTTTTAATTCGACTCGGCGAAAAAAGGAGAAGCACTGGATGCAAAATTAACTCACAAATCGAATGCACAATGATCAGAAAAATACAAACCTGTTTGGAAATGTTCAAAACGTTTTATTCCACCTCAGACTGACGGAATGATCTGCTTTTACTCTAACATTGGTTGTTCTAAATCCAAAGTAATTTTTAAGTGACGAAAAAACAACAACATAAACAAAAAAAAAACCTTTGCCACGAGCAAACGTTCCTACCTCGTGTATTTCATTCAGTCTCAGTCAGAACTCTCACAGAACGAGACAAACAAACGCAGGCGATAAGGGATGTGCAGAAGCTTGCGCAGAACGTTTTTCCACCCTGAAAGACCAACATTGACGTCACGTAGTCTCCAGTCTATCACGCGGCCATTTCCGAAATGTTTTAGTGAAGTCTTCGGAAATGCTCGGATTTTCATCTTTTATCTTTCTATAAATGCTTTGGAAGAAAAATCTGTACCCAAATTTCACTTAGGATGGTTCTTTTTAGTGTTTGGTGACCGTAAAGCGACAAAAGAAAATACGTCCATTTTTTAGTTCATTTGACGTTTAAGTGAGGTAGGGAAGAAAAGATGTTTCGTTTCGGAACGAATGTCATGGAATCTTTCTCCGCAAATATCTAGTAGTTTTGCAAACACATTTTCAAAACTTTCGCTAGTGTAAGATCAGAAGCAAATAACTTTGGCCCGAGTTGTTCAAACGTTGCATAGCCCTATCCATCCAATAAATCACTATCCAGTCCATAACTATTACGGACACCAATTGCACTATCCACTTGATAGTGATTTATCCCGTGCATACCGCTATCCACCTTTTGAGCAACTGGGGCTTGCTATATTATGTTCCATATGTATGTGTTTATCTGTGCGTTTCTGATGTACTACCCAGCTGTACTAACATCAACTCCTCCATTTTCTCCTTAGCGCTGATTCAGTCAAGACCAGAATCAAGAGTCAAGAATCAAGACTAAGTCAATGATGTTACAAAGAACATTATTGTCGTTGTGTTTATCAACTAATTATAGAGTAAACTGCCGCTTATAAGCCCATCCGCATCTAAGGCCCCCGGGTTATAGACCCACCTACATGCAAACAAAAAAATACATCCGATTATAAGCGCATCCTGATATGAACCCCTGTCACAGTTTTGATTTTATTTTCAATTTAACTGAATTCCATTTATTGCTACCTTTTTAAGGCTTCAATTGTAAGAGTAATACATTTACATTATACGTCGATCAACAGTGCTGTTGCTCATTTCAAAACGTTTTTTTCCGTCCGCATATAAGCGCCCCCCCCCCCCCCC